CAAGGCAAACGCCCTACCGCTGTGCTATCGCTCCAGCCCATTTTTCCAGATAAAATATATATATTTGGTGAACAGGCATATAAAAAAATAGTCAACACCTGTAGAACATCACATACCAGTCTCTGTGCGTGCTGGGCCAATGTGAATCAGGCCCAGAGGTGACCCAGGAGACATTAAGTACCTTTGACTTTCGCCCCTCTTACTGCTACCAGCTACCATTCTGCCGTGGAAATAAAAAGGAAGTCCTGGCTGGAATTTTGGCTTTCGTTTGTTTGTTTTTTGCTTTTTGCTCATAACCCCAGCAACGCTCAGGGGTTACTCCTGGCTTTGCACTTGGGAATCACTCCTGTTGGTGCTTGGGGAACCATATGGGATGCTGGGAACCGAACCCGGGTCAGTCGCATGCAAGGCAAACACCCTCCCCGCTGTGCAATTGCTCCAGTCCCCCTGGCTGGAATTTTGAATGTGCTCAGAGTCACATTCAAAAGGTCAGAAGGCACACATGAAAGTGACTGTTAAACAATTCCTACATTGTTTTTCAACAAGTAATCAACATAAGGAATAATGGAATTGTTTTCATTTGTGTGTGTGTTTTTTTAAAATCTTGGTCCAAAGTGCTGTAAATACTGTGTATATTTTACATTCATAATGCATCTTAATTCTGGTTCCAAGTTTTACTAGTTTAAGTGAAACGTTCTACTAAATCAAGAAACGTTTAAATTGTTTCTGAACAGCTGCAGTTTTTAAATATAAACTTGAATTGCTTAAAATACAATAGGAAATTCAGCTCCTCAAGTGTACTAATTACATTTCAAGTTCTCCAAGGTCTCTTGGCTGGGGGCTGCCATATTGGACAGTGAAGATTCATCACCAGCTGTAATGCTTCTGAAGAAATTCGGCATCCCAGGCCGCATCCCTGATTCACAGGTGATTGGTGCACACATTAAAATTTGAGAAACACCCGTATAGACCTCTTAATTGCTTGATCCTTCTCATCACTGACTTCACCATGGTTCTAGTCTTTACCGCCGCCAGCTGCATTGTTGTAATTGCACTTAATTGGTCTCTCACCTCCAATCCATTTAATCTTCCATTAATCTTTTCAAAGTCTTTAAATGGTTCCCTCACTGCTTACTGAATAAGGTCCCAAGGACTTCGTGCACCAGGCCCCTGTACGGTACAGCCATGATGCTTGGATTTATTTCACAGCCTCAATACTGCCGGGAAGGGGAATGCAGAGAGAAAGAGGATTCCTTCTCCAGGGCATCCTCACCGTGGGCTGCTCTCTGTGCTACGAGACAGGTAAACCCTGGTAAAGCCAGGTTCCTACTCTAAATTGACTGACAACCAAGCATCCAGGCAGGGGGCAAGGAGCAAAGACTTAAACAAGGAGTTTAAATGTTCTCACATTTAACATCACTGTGAACAGGGAATTGTTCTCGGAGCGCCACGGGGCAAGGGAGGCAGAATCCAAGGATTCATCACCCACGCGGCTGGCTCAAGCTCCTCACCTCCTTTGCTTTCTGGGGCCCTTGCCATGGCCTCTGAGTTAGCTAAATATGTTCCTTGGCTTTTAAGAAGAGTTTCCGCAACAGAAGCATGTCACCTTTATTTATGTTTCACTGATTGCTCATTTAGTTTGTGGGGGTCAACCTCTCTGGTCTCGAGGGGCTATTTCTAGCTCTGTGCTCAAAAGTGAGCCCTGGCGACATCTGGAACCTGGTCGCCAGGATGCCAGGCTCTAACCACTGTGCTTTCTCTCCGGCCCCTCACACACTCGTGTTAATACTCGTGTATTAGGAGCCCCAGAGACAAAGCAAGGAAGCAAACCCACTTCTCCAGTCTCTGGGCAGAGTCTCCCTGCCAGCGGAGGACCAGCACCATGTCCCCTGCCTCCCATGGGACTTGACCCACATTGGCACAACGCAATTAGGTTCACGGGAGGCCGAGCCAGGACTAGGGCCCTGTGACAGAGATGGCGCCTGGAGAGGTTCCTCCTGAGGTAGAGCCCGGACGCTCACGCGTGTGCTGTGGCTCTGCAGACTCCCACCCACTGGAATCCCTCCCGGGGCTGCAGCATCACACAAATCACAGCTGGAACGCCCCGGCATACCCACAACTATCAACAGGAACTTTTTGAGTACCCAAATCTCAAAGGTCGCCACCAGATGGCAGTGCAACATTTCCTCGGATTTCCATGTACACAGGGATCTTGATTTCCCATGAGCTTCCACCCCGATGAACTCCTCATGAATAGATCATGAATAGATCATGAGTTGAAAACGCACAGAATATACTTAACTTACCCGACACCAGATTTTAGCCCAGTTCACCTGAAAGGTGCTCTGAGTCTTGTTACAGCTGAGCAAAACTTTTAATAAAGTTGTATAGGGCAGGAGCAATATCACAGCGGGTAGGGCGTTTGCCTTGCACGCGGCCGACCCGGGTTCGATTCCCAGCATTCCATATGGTCCCCTGAGCACAGCCAGGGGTAATTCCTGAGTGCAGAGCCAGGAGTAACCCCTGTGCATTGCCGGCTGTGACGCAGAAAGAAAGAAAGAAAGAAAGAAAGAAAGAAAGAAAGAAAGAAAGAAAGAAAGTTGTATAATAGCCATACCAGAGGGGAAAAGAAGGTGGCTGCCAGTGACTGACAGGGAGCTGCAGCCAGTCGCTACTCGCAAGATTCATAAGCAGAACCAAGTCATCAGGGACACTCTGTGTTCTAGAAAGCTCTTGGGTACAATGGGAAGGTGGTATCCCAGGGTCCCCACAGATTAATCATTCCTAACCCTAGCAGGGTCCAAATCTAGCTACTACTTTTTGGGTCATGACAGTATTTGTCCATGACCAAGCTCTTAACTTATAGTTAAGCATTATGGCACTTTGGCCAGGCCCATCATGATGCCAGGGTAGCACATAGCTTACCGTTTGCCCTGGTTCCATCCAGTCCCTCATTGGGACCCTGCTTTTGGGGACGCTAGAAAGTAAGGGCAGATGAGGCTTAGGTCAAGAGAGCAGATGCCCAGGAGGAAAATCTTACTGAGAATCATGTTACAAAAGCATTGCATATACTGTCTTCTTGTGTCCATACAAAAAGGACATTGCTCTGAATAAACTATGCAAAGGACTTAGGGAGAAGAGAAAAACAATATATATGTATATATTTTTCTTTTTGTATCACACCCGGTGATGCACAAGGGTTACTCCTGGCTCTACACTCAGGAATTACTCCTGGCGGTGCTTGGGGGACTATAAGGGATGCTGGGAATCAAACCCAGGTCAGCCATGTGCAAGGCGAACACCCCACCCGCTGTGCTACTGCGCCAGCCCCGAGAAAAACAATATTTACAAGTCAACAGAGCATGAAGAAGTTACATATAAACACAGAGGAATGGGAGTACTGTAATGGGAGCAACCCAATAAACCTAAACTACCTGAGGCTACACAGGAAGGACAAAAGCAGTGTTATCCTACAGGGCATCTCTCCTTTCGCTAGACACATGAGATTTTCCCACATGTCTCAGAATCTCACACCGCCAGCTTCCTCCCAAAGGGAGGTTTGAACCATTCTCAGGCCTTCATCTCGTCCATCCAAATGAAACTACAAAAGGAAGGCAGACTTCGTTCCTGGGGTGTGGGGTCACACTGGTGGCGCTCAGGAGTCACTCGCTCAGGGGCCACTCTCTGCAGTGCTCGAGGCACCACTGGTCATGCCCAGGTCTGAATTGGGATCAGCCACATGCAAGACAAGTTCCTTCACTGTTGTTTCTTGCTATTGGCCTTGCCTCCCTCCACCCCATTTATTTAAAGCATGACTTTTGGAACACAGCCTGGTGCATAATAATAAAAAAGAACACACTAACTTAATGAATAAGGGTTTGAGGCTGGATTTAAAAATTGCATGAAGGTTTGGAGGCTAAAACAGGGGTGACTGACGGCACTTGCTCCTGTTCCAGGCACCACATAAGGTCCCCTGAGCACCCCTGGGAGTGATCCCTGAATGCACAGCTGGAAAGGGCCCCTGATTACCCCGAGGCATGGCCCCCAAACAAATGACAACGAAAACGTCATGTTCAGAGGCCAGAGATACCTACAGGGAGTTAAGACGCTACGTAGCCCATCATGTCTGATTCGGGGCACCACATGAGCCCCAGGACAAACAAAGCCGGGAGCTAGAAAAGACCGTGCTCATACATTATTCTTTCAAAAATTAAAAACAGGGGCTGGAGCAATAGTACAGCGGGTAGGGCGTTTCCTGGGTTCGATTCCCAGCATCCCATATGGTCTCCTGAGCACTGCCAGAAGTAAGTCCTGAGTGCAAAGCCAGGAGTAACCCCTGTGCGTTGCCAGGTGTGACCCAAAAAAGAAAAAAAAATTAAAAACAACCAGTTATGGAATACATATTTGCTGGATGCACTGTCGTTTCTTGCTAATGGACACAATCCAGATTTCTTTTCGCAGCATCCAGGACTCTCCTGATCTGCCACGTCTTGGCTACTGGCGGGTCATCTCAGGTGACTCCCTCCCCCTCACCCCCCCCCCCTGCAGTGTGCTCCGTTTCCGCCTCCGTAACGTGGAACTGTGCATAATTACTTCCCGGAATTCACATTCAATGCAGGCATAAGCGCTTCCACAAACCCAAGCTCAAGGGAAGTTACAGAAGCATTTACAGAGCTTCGTCCACGCTGGGCGTCTAAGAGCCCTCGGGTGTTTGCTTCAAGGATCAGAAGTTCAAGGCTGGGGGAAAAAAAAAAAATTCTGAGAAGCAGCGACCGGAATGACCAAGCTTCCGCCGTTGCCGGGGAAACCGCCCGGCGGCCCCAGAAACTGAGCATGCGCACTGGGAATGTGAGGGGCGGGGATTAAGAGGCTCCTCCTCCTGGCGTTTGCTATTGGCGGAGCTCGGACCAATGGGAAGCGGCCGTGGGGCGGGGCGGGGCGGGCCGTCCCGGGGCCGGCGGGACCCCGACTTCCGGGTCGCGGTGCTTGCAGGGAGCGCTCGGCGCGCCGCGTCGTTTCCGTTGCCGGCAGTTTGCAGTTGGGGAAACCGAGGCAGCGCCAGCTTTGCCCCCCCTAGCTCTTCCGCTCCTGTGAGGTGGCCGCGGTTTCTTTCCCTCTCGCCCCGCGCCGCTTCGCTGCGGCTGCGCGCGCCCTCGAGCCGCGCCCGCCCCCGGCAGCAGCGCCTCGGCGGGGCTTTGTGCGAGCCGGGGTGGGGGGCGCGCTCGCGGCCGCGGGTCCCCGAGGTCGGGGGGCCGCCCGGACTGTCCCGCCGCCCCCGCCCGGGGAGGCGGGAAGGACATCTGGAGCTTTTGCATTTAAAAAAAAAAAGAACAATAGTGATAATACCCCCCCCCCCCGCCTTTTGCATTCGCCCCACCCATTGCTTCTTGGAGCCGCTGCAGTTTTTCGGGGGGCCCCCGAAGGTTACGTCTCGCTCCGGGGAGTCGCCGGTTTCCGCCTCGCGGGTTTCCTCTGCCCTTCACCTGTTGCATGGGTCCCCGCGCCCCTCGGGGCCCTCTGTCACCCCCCCACCCCACCCCACCCTGCTGTGCATCCCTTGGAGGGGGTGCAGTCCTCACCAAATGGGGGGAATCGAACCCGTGCTTTGCAGAGAGGCCTTTGGGTTTCTCGAGCTGCCAGTTAAAGTAAGGCTGGCCGCGAGCCCCATCCCAAGAGAGGACTTCTGAGTGGTTCCTTTTTTTTTTTTTTTTTTGCAGTCAGTGCCTGGGTTCTTGAAAAAGCGCCCAAGTGACCCCTTGGGTGCTGGGTGGGACCGGCCGTCGAGGGGGCTTCTATGACGGCCTGAGCAAAGCCCACACGACTGGGAGTGATGAGTTGGCAAAACTGACTTTGAATGTTCCCCCTGCTCCATCTGTGTAAGATCACTAATTGTCATTTCCTTCTCCAGGAAAAACAGACAAACAAACAATGTTTTTTTCTTTGTGGGACTTCTTCTATGGGCACTTTTTCCGCTATTGGATGAAATGGCTCTTGCGGCAGATGACCGGGAAGTGCGAGCTGCAGCGGATTTTTGATGCCTATGTGGGGGCGCAGAGGACACAGAGGATAGGTAACGTGCTTTGGAGACAAGTGCCGTGAAACGGGAAGGATTTTCACCAGAATCAGTGCCCCCCTCTTCCCCCCATCCTCAGAGACCTGCAGTGCGGATGGACCCTGCCCATCCGCTGGGGACTCAGACTCAAGGCTCGGGGCCTGTAGCATCCGGGTTTGAGTCCTCTGGCTCTGAACCGAACTGATTCTGTAGGAGAGAAACTCCTATTTAACATCCCTGCCGACACAGAGGATTTCTCTTTCCTTTGACCTCTGTGATGCACAGTTTGTACCTTCCGTGATAGTTGCAACTTGTTTGGTACAGAAAAAAAAAAAAGAGAGAGAAGAAAATGCCTATCTTTCTTCAGCCCTTTCAAATTTCACTCAAGTGGTGGGAAACAGTGTCTGGGTCAGCTTCCTTCTCCTGCTGGATACCTGTCACCAGCCTGTCCGTCTCTTGGGGACCCCGGGAGAGGAGCAGAATAGGGCAGATGAGCCCCCGCAGCAAGATTCAGGCTCCGAGTCTGCCCTAGTCATTGTTAAGCCTTGGGCTGTGCTGGCCGAGTGCAGTGGCGTAGACACGGGCTTCAGAGACTGTGACTGCGTCCCACTGACCGTCCCTCTTTCCCTAGATGTCAGAATGAGGCTGGCTGTCATATCTTGGCTTCATAGATATTAAAACTAATTCAGTCTCTGGTATGTCTTGTTAAACGTATTTAGCACCGTAGCGCTGTCCTCCCGTTGTTCATCGATTTGTTCGAGCGGGCACCAGTAACGTCTCCATTGTGAGACTTTGTTGTTACTGTTTTTGGCATATCGAATACGCCACGGGGAGCTTGCCAGGCTCTGCGGTGTGGGCGGGATATTCTCCGTAGCTTGCTGGGCTCTCGGAGAGGCCGGAGAAATCGAACCCGGGTCGGCCATGTGCAAGGCAAATGCCCTACCCACTGTGCTATTGCTCTAGCCAACATATTTGTTCCTTTTTTTTTTTTTTTATTTCTGTGCTGGATCTTAAAACTCTAGAAGGATCCCTGGGTTATGTCATCGGTCTGGTTGGACAGGGCTCCCCTCCTCAGTCACCCATTTTCAGTGTTTCACTGAAACTCGCTTTCACGGGGAATGTGGGTGAGTAAGACTATGGTGGCATTATTTCTCCGTGTCCAGGGTAGGTAGGTTGAGGGAGAGGCCACGGGCCACGGCGTCAGGTGGCACTGGAACTAGCGTGCCTCAGCTCAGGTCACCTAGTAAGGGGTGTGGGATGGCCGCAGATGCCCTGGGCAGTGGAGGACAGAGGGGCGTGGGGTACCAGGAGCAGTACTTCCTGCCCTCCTCTTCCTCACCTCTGTGCCACTTCCCTCTCACCTACTTCTCTTCTGCCCTCTGACAGCTCAGGAGCAAAGTACCCTTGATAAGAACCCACGGCTGCAGTGGTGTGCACTGCATGGGCGGGGTCTCAGCGTGAGTGCTGGACCACAGTACTCACGGACAGATGCATTTGCTTTGGGACCGCGCCCAGGGGCCCCTAAACGCTCTCAACCCTTGAATCTCTGTCCCTCCCACCCCCATAAGAACAATTTCTTTTTCCAGTTGCCGAGAAAAGGGAGTACCTAAATGTACCAGAAATAATTTTTTTTTTAACAACCAGGATAAAATACCTGTGTCATTCCTGAAGGAGAAAAGCAGACAGGAGAAGCTGTTGGGTTCTTTGCCTGGCTGGAGGGTGGGCGCCAAAAGCGTAGGCCTGCTGGCCTGATTCCCTCCCTGACCCAAGTCACAGGTCACTGGAGTCCCCCGATGAGTTCTGGGCGCCCTTACTATGTTACAGTGGCTAGCAGATGCGTGGGGCTCTCATGGAGACTGCTGGCCCTAGGCGGGTAGGCTCAGCCCTTTAGTGTCCCGCCAGGACTGCTGGATTTCCCGTGTAGCGCTGAGGGTTTGGGAATCACCTAGTCCTCAATACCGTGCGAGTTTAACTGTGTTCCTGCCTCATCCAGATAGATACTATCTCCTGGAACTGTAAATAACTGGCTTGGTGCTCTTACTAATTGCTTATGGACTCATTCCCAGCTAACAGCCAGAGGATAACATTCTGCTGTTACTGTTTCTGTTTCAGAAAGTTCCTTGACACACTCCAAGAATAAGGTAAGGTCACATGGAGGCGGTTGTTCTAGGAGACATGGCCGTTCTTTAGAAGAGGGCCTGCCGGGGTGGGAGCCGTCTTGTGGGCTGAGGCACTTGCCTTGTGCGCGGTTGGGCCTGGGTGTGATCTCGGCACGATATATGGTCTCCTGAGCACCACCAGGAGCGCACCCTGAGCACAGCCCATGGGGCCCCCAAACCTGGACCAAGCACGGGAGGTGGGTCGGGTCTGTTTCCAGGGGTCCGCGGGAGATCAGATAACAGGTTGGGGGTTGCTTCTCTCTCCTCTTCTAATGATTCGTGACTCGTGCCTGTTCAACTTCTTTCTGCCCGTTCCTCTCTGTTCTGAATGTGACTGGGTTCCACCCCCCCCCCCCCCCCACGGCCTGCCACCCTCACGCCCCTTCGCTTTCTGGTCCACAGGTCTTGCGTGACGCCACGCAGGTTGTGGAGAGTGAAGTGGACCAGTGTGTAGACGACATCATGAAAGAGAAGAACATCAGCCCCGAGAAGGACACCAGGTAATGCCGCCCCCCTGCCCCCCCGCCCCCGACTGTCTGGGTGGGGGGAGAATCAGCCCATGGTCCCCCACACGTGGGAGGGCGGGGGCGAGTGTCTGCTTCAGAAAACTAATCCAGTGCTCCTGTGTCTTGCATTGGGAACCAACCCCCCCCCCCCACCGTGCTCCTGCCCGCCCTCCCTCGCTTAAATCAGGGTGTGCTCTGCCCTTGGCCTTAAGTCCAGCTTCTCGTCCTCCAAGAGCTGCCTCCTGGCCCTCCCTCTCTTCTTGTACCTTGCCCGTCCCTGTCCCCAGTCCCCTTGCCCTGTCCCCCTGGACCTAGGAGCCCTGCCCCAGCTCCCCTATGCACGGGCCCACCTGGACCCCCAGTTCCATGGAGAAGGGCTGTCAGACTGGCCGTTTTATAGCATCACTGGGCAAATCCTGGCTGAGCTGGGGACGGGAGCAGGCGACAGGGCCAGAGACCCTCAGGAGAGGGAGCCCCGGGGACCTTGGGGCCGGATCCTGTGCCTCTCCATGCGGAGGAACGTGGCAGTGGAGGCAGAGGTGGAGGAAGGTGTGGGTGGGAGGGTGGTGGCAGTGAGGACGTGCTGGTGTGGATGGGGCCTGAGTATGGGAGGCCCCGCAGAGAAGTGAGGGAGCACTGGGCCGCGGGCAGTGTCCTCTCGTTCATTTGGAGAGAACCAGCGCTCTCAGATGTGTTAGGGGAAGTGGGGGGTACATTGGGGTGTCAGGGGCTGGCGGGGGGCGGGGACAGAACACTGGGTTGTGGCTACCCTGCCAGTGGGCAGGCGACTCAGGGAGGCGTGGCCTGTGGGGCCCGTCGGGAGTGGTGACAAATCCCCCCTGAAACTATGTGAACTTGTGGTCTTGGGCGTGGGAGGGGGTCAGGGCCTTGGACAGGGCGCTGCTGCTGTGAGCGCAAACGGGCACTGGGGAAAAGTCATCCGGGACGTGCGGGCAAAACCCTGGGGTGCAGGAGCGGGGGGCTCCGCGCCCTCCCTTGGGGTCCGGCACCCACAGCGCTGGACCCCAGACCCCAAGCCGGGTGAGCCGACCAGCCGGGGCCGGCTCCAGCCTCACGGCCTGCACCGTCCGCAGCTTCCGCGTGTGCATGAGGGCCTGCTTGCTGCAGATCTCCGGGTACAAGCAGCTCTACCAGGACGTGGAGAGCGTGCGGAGGAAGCCCTACGACTCGGACAACCAGCAGCACGAGAAGATGCTCCTGCGGGTACGTGGGGCCTGGAGTGGAGGGTGGGAGGGACCAAGGAAGGCTGGGGTGTGTGTGTGGGGGGGTGCAGACCCAGGCTGGCCCAACAAAGGGAATTTGGGATGGGGGGGGAGGGACCTGGAGCGCCTGCAGATGCTCCTGCATGGCCCAACAGACGCTCTTCACCCCGCAGAGAATTTTATTAAGTTGGTGAGATTCCTAGTTCCCTGTTTTTTAATTTGTGTTTTCTAATATGCTGTGTTAAAATGTATTCAAGAGTCCCCCCCCCCCCCCCCATCTTCGGGCTTTTAATTGTGAAGTGAATTAGTTAGACCTGAGAGTGACGATTTCCAACCACCCTGAATTGCCCCCCCGCCCCGCCCCCCAGCCTTTTCTGTCAGTCTCACATCAAAGTTAGGTGACTTCAATTTCCTCTTCTGTTGAGGATAGGGTGGTCCCTTCTGGGATTATTTGGTCAAATCATTTGGGATTTATGGGATGTGAACGACCAAATAATACCACGTTAGATTTGAAAATGAAGACGTGCGACTCAGGGTGGAGCGATAGGACAGGGGGTCGGGTGTTTGCTTTGCACATGGCCACCTCTGAGTTCCATCCCAGTGTCCCAGAGGGTCCCCGGAGCCCACCAGGAGTGGTTTGTGAGCACAGAGACAGGAGGATCCCCTGAGCACTGCCGGGTGTGTCTCCACAACAAAACAAAAAAGCAAAAAAAGAAAGAAAGAAAATAGGGAATTGCAGAGCCAGGAGTCAGCCCTGAGTATTGAGGGGTGTGGCTGCCCGAAAACAAAAATGACATCTGGAATCGGTCGTTGAGGCAGCGGATGGCAAAGCCGTCAATGCCCCAGGAAGTGGATGCCAGCCTCCTGCCTGCTCCCCACGTTCCGTTTATTGAAAACCAAGTGGTTTGGTCACTGTGAGTGACAGAGTGGTCCGTGAGTGGGGTTCAGGCATGCCACCAGTCCTCCCGCACTGACCCCTTCACCAGTGTCCCCTTCCTTCGCTCAGCAGCGCCCGAGCTGGGGCTGAGCCACGGGGACACACGCCACATTTGTCACAGCATCTTTCAGAGCCGGGTTTTGTGTGGGGGATGTCTTGGGAGTGATGACACTGGGACACTTGGTGGTGCTTGTTGGTCTTGCCATTCCTCACAGTCCAGCTCGATTGTCGGCCCCTTGAGGGAGATACTTCTTTACAGCCAGGATGTGTCATTGTTCTCTTTTAAAACTGAACAATTGGGTCTGGAGCGATCGCACTGTGGGGAAGGCGTTTGCCTTACATGCGGACGACCCGGGTTCGATTCCCAGCATCCCATATGGTCCCCTGAGCACCACCAGGAGTAATTCCTGAGTGCATGAGCCAGGAATAACCCCTGTGCATTGCTGGGTGTGACCCCCCCAAAAAAAGCAAAAAATATATATAAATAAATAAAAATAAAACGGAACAATTGTGGGACTGCAGAGTCAGTTCAGGGGTAAGGCACTGGCTTGGCATGCAGCAAGCCCGGGTTTGAGCCTGGGCACCCCATGTGGTTCCTCCAAGCACCACTAGGAGTGACCCCTGAGCACCACCAGGGTTGGTCTCCAAACAAAACAAAACAAAACAAAAAACCCAAACAAGCCCCCCGCCGAAACTGTGTGAACTGGTGGTTGTGGCCTTGGAACCCTGTCAGTATTGCTTCTTCCTGATTGCTCCCACCCCTGTCTCTGTCCCTCAGACAGAGGGACAGAGGCCCGGCCGAGGAAGGCAGGGGTGTATGTGGGGGGTGCAGACCCAGGCCGGCCCTGCCTCCCTGCACATCCTCCTTAAACCAGTGTCTGAGCCATGCCCAGCAGTGGGCTCTGCCTCTTCCTCCAGAAAGTGATGAACCAGTTTTGGTCAGTGCATGTTCTTTGGGAATATAGGAAAATGCAAATAAAAGATCACACAGTGGTAACTCATTGTTCTAGATTCCTGTGACTTGCTTACTTTTCAAAATCCCTTCTTTGACTCTGTCTTCTGCATTGGAATATGTAGCTTTGTATGTACATCAATACCGGAAGCTTTAGCACGATTGGAATCATGCTACCTAAACTATCATGTGTGTGTGTGTATATATATATATATATATATATATATATATATACTTTTTTTTTATTAGTGAGACATCATGAGGTACAGTTGTAGACTTACAGATTTTTGTGCTTGGGTTTCAATTGTACAATGATCAAATACCCATCCCTCCACCAGTGCCCATTTCCCACCACCACGGGTCCCAGTATCCCTCCCACCCCCCATCCCCCCATCCCTCCCTGCCTCTGTGGCAGGGCATTCCCTTTTGTTCTCTCTCTCCTTTTGGGTGTTGTGGTTTGCAAAAGAGGCAATGGGTGACAGTCATGTTTGGTGTATAGTCTACTTTCAGCATGCTTCTCCCATCCTGGGAGGATCCTCCCAACGCCCTTTATTTGGTGCTCCCTTCTCTATCTGAGCTCCCTTTTCCCCTAGCATGTGTGGCTGGCCTCCAAGCCATGGAGTAATATTCCTGGTACTAATTTCGGCCATTCTTGGGTGTTAGTCTCCTATTTTGTTACTTTATGTTCCCCAGATGAATGCAATCTTTCTATGTCTGTCCCTCTCTTTCTGAGTCATTTCGCTTAACATGATACTTTCCATGTAGTACCACTTGTATGTAAATTTCGTGACTTCGTCTTTTCTAACAGCTACATAGTACTCCATTGTATATACATATTTTTTAATTATAATGTCTCCTACATCTTAAAAAAGGGTAATTGTTTTCCAGTCTTTGTGGGGGCCTATGATTTGTTTACAAAAAGGAGTTTGCTCGCACACCTTCGGCTGTTAGCGAGGTCATCAGCGAGAAGGCAGTGCCGTGGTCGGTTCCGAGATCACCCCATGTTAATGTGGAGCCTGTTTGTATAGCTTTGGAAGCTGCTGATGCCCACGAAACAGCTGCAGAGCCGGATCTCCAAGCAGTGGGCTGACATTGGCTTCCAGGGCGATGACCCCAAGACAGACTTCCGAGGCATGGGCATGCTTGGACTGATCAATCTTGTGTAAGTGATGACGACAACGGAAATATGCTTTGTCCTCTTCTTGAGCTGAGCTCACACGCCTCCCAGTCTCCACCAGTTCCGGTAGGAAGTAGTTCGGTTTTCCACAGCAGCGGAACTCTAATAGCAGCAGTGCCCTGAGCTTCCACTCGTGCTAGCAGGAAAACATCGGAACTCTGGTGTGTATGGTTTGCATATGTGATTTGGTTGTGTGTGTGAGAGATTTTTCTGGGTACATGATTTCTTTGCATGATTTGTTTGCATCTGTGATTTCTGTGTGTGATTTCTTGGCATGTATATGATTTGTTTGTGTTTGGGTGTGATTTCTGTGTGTGTGTGTGTGTGAGAGAGAGAGAGAGAGAGAGAGAGAGATCTTTATGTACCTCTGTCTCTTCTCCACCTCTCCTCTAATGCTGTTTAAGGAGTTCTGTATGCTTCTTCCTCTTCACTCCTCATGCTCCTCTCTCAGTTTTCTGTTGTTTTTGAAATACCATTTTAAAGTACTGAAAGATAAATATCTACCAGGAGCACTTGAGAGCCAACCGATGGTTAGATAGAAAACTAGTTTTTTGAAGGATAGAGTTGTTTTTTTTTTTCTTCTAGGGATTTACATGAGCTTTTGGCATCCTGATGGATGCTTTGAATATCCTCCTCCCCCAGCCCTGAAAATGTGCCTGAGAAAACTATGCGTGTTATTGAAGGAGTTCCATAAGGGATCCTTTCACGCGGGGTCCTGGTTTATGGGCTTCTAAGTCAGCACCCTCTCCAGCGCGTGCAGTGTTAGAGCCAGGGAAGGAAAAATCAAGTTGATGGTGTTGATATGTCGAATGGGAAACAGCGTGTGGGGGGGCTTCTTTGAGGGCTCCTGTGCCAACTGAACGTGTAGGGATTGTGTTCTCCAGCAGGGAGGGACCTCAGAAGCCCTGTTTCCCTTTTACCCCTCGCTCTCTGCATGCGTTTGAGCACGCGGGCAGGCCCGTGCCCACCTCTCCGTGCCACAGGCCAGTGAAAGTTGGACTAGGCAGGAATGAAAACCAGGACAGTCATGTTCTGAATTTTCATTTTGAAATCGAGCTCAATAGAACAGAAAGTTGCTCCCGGGTGCCAAGTGTTAAGTGGCCCTGGTGCTTTTCGTGTGCAGGCAGGAAATGCTGCTGCCCCAGAGAGCGGGAAGGTCTCGGGGCTTGTCCCAGAGCCCAGACAGGGCCTGGAGTGATAGTGTAGAGACCGGCATTCACCTTGCACACAGCTGACAGCTTCCGTCCCTGACGCCACAGACGGTCCCCTGAGCCCTGCCAGGAATGGGCCTTGAACACAGAGCCAGGAGTAAGCCCTGAGCACAGCTGGGTGTGTGTGACCCAAAAGCCAAAGGAAAAAAAATCAGAGAAGTAGCTTTAGTACGAACCGGAACCTGTAAACCGTCTCTTTGTTGTAGCTGCTAATATTTCTAAGGTCATTATGGTTTTGTGGCAAGTCCCCCAGGAGGGATGTTTTACCGCAGAAGAAGGTCACTGGTTTGACCGTGATGCTCTCGGCGACACCCAGCAGCCCAGACTCGGTGACACAGCCCGGGCTGGCAGAAAGTTCAGAGGAAGAGAATTCTAGATGATTTTTGGTTTTTGGTCAGTACTAAAAAGTCTCTTGATAGATCTTGAAAGTCTTGCCAAGGCCCATATTGTCTGTTCCACAGCCCAGCAGCTTGGAGTAGAACATTGCTCCGGAAGCCTCCGGATGCCGAACAAGGGGTAGAGGGGGTGTGTGGTGGGTAGGTGGGGGGGTCACTTCATTCATTCTGACAACAGCTTCTTACGTTGCTTCTGGGCAGCCTAATTTCATGGTTTTCCTTACTTTTTTTTTTTTTCAGGTATTTCAGTGAAAATTACACCAGAGAAGCTCATCATATTCTTTCCCGTTCAAATCATCCCCAGTTGGGGTAAGCTGCTATATTAAAGGTGATGGCCAGCCCTTGGATTGAAGTTGATGCAATTATCTGAGGTTGAAAGTCTCTTGGGTTATTTTTTTAAAATGGTGTTATTTTAATCAAAAATCATTTTAATTAGAAACAAAGCCCGATGTGATCACAAACTACACTTTCGTGTGTATTTTAATAAATATTGTCACAGGATATCTATAAAATGAAGGTCAGAACCTTTATCGCTTCTTGCCGATAAATAGATTTGAAAATTAGAAAGTAGCTTTGATATAGCAAAAGAAAAATGAGAAATAGCTTTAGAACCTGGAGTGAGATGCAAATTGAGGGCATGTTATTAGTTTTGTCATTATTGTATATTCCAGCGACCTTTGGGGGGAGGACATGTCAGATGAGTGTATTTCAGGAGTCAGTTAACATAGGTAGAGTTTGGGGGATTTTGTGTGTGTGTGTGTGTGTGTGTGTGTGTGTGTGTGTGTGTGTGTGTTTAAACCGATTCATGTATTCGTTTGCTCAGAGCTCTGCCTTTATGTCAGAGTCAGCAGTCTGGGGCGAGTCTTCTCTAGTTGACTCCGGCTTATTTCTCATACCCAGGGGCAGGGTATTAATGTCGGTGCTGTTAGAAAGGCCCCGAGTCTCTTCCTAACTCCTTGCAGGACCGTCGCTGTGTTTGAGATGCTCTTTGGCTCTCAGCATAACTGCTCGTGTCTCTGACTTAGGTATTCTTATGCAATAGTTGGGATCAATCTCACGGAGATGGCTTACAGCTTGCTCAAGAGTGACGCGCTCAAGTCCCACCTCTACACCTTCGTCCCTGGCATGCCAACGATGGAGCACTTCCATCAGTTCTACTGTGAGTATTAGTGCCACAAAACCCACGTTCCTTTTTAGAGTTTTGTTTTGTTTTGTTGGGGGGAGGTCACACTCGGTAGTGCTCTGGACTTGCTCCTGGTTCTGCATTCAGGGGTGACTCCTGGATTCAGGAGTCCATGTGGGGTGCCAGGGAGCGAACCCAGGTCAGCCATGTGCAAGGTGAGTGTCCCATCTGCTGTGCTCTTTCTCCGGCATTTCTTTTTTTTTTTTTTTTTTTTTTTTTTTTTTTTTTTTTCCCCTTTATTTTATTTTATTTTTTTTTTAAAGTTGTAGATTTACAATTTTTTGTGCTTTGGTTTCAATTATACAATGATCAGATACCCATCCCTCCACCAGTGCCCATTTTCCACCACCATGGATAATATCCCTCCCACCCCCATCCCCCCATCCCCCCGTCTCTGTAGCAGGGCAATCCCCTGTGTTCTCTCTCTCCTTTTGGGTGTTGTGGTCTGCAAAAGAGGCATTGAGTGGCAAACATGTTCAGTCCATAGTCTACTTTCGACATGCATCTCCCCTCCTGGGAGGATCCTCCAAACATCCTTTATTTGGTGCTCCCTTCTCTATCTGAATAGCCCTTTCCTCTAGGATACCCGGCTGGCCTCTAAGTTATGGAGTAATCCTCCTGGTGCTGATCTCAGCTATTCTTGGGTATTAATCTCATACTTTGTTACTTTATATCCCCCAGATGAATGCAATCTTTCTATGTCTATCCCTCTCTTTCTGACTCATTTCGCTTAGCATGATACTTTCCATATTGTACCACTTGTATGTAAATTTCATGACTTCATCTTTTCTAAGAGCTACATAGTACTCCATTGTGTAGATGTACCAAAGTTTCTTTAACCAGTCATCTGTTCTTGGGCATTCAGGTTTCTTCCAGTTTCTGGCTATTGTAAAGAGGGCTGCAATGAACAAACAAGTGCAGATGTCACTTCGACTATACATTTTTGCCTCTCTGGGATATATTCCCAGGAGTGGTATTGCTGGGTCAAATGGGAGCTCAATTTCTAATTTTTTGAGAATCGTCCATACTGTTTTCCAGAAGGGCTGAACCAGTGGACATTTCCACCAACAGTGAAGGAGTGTCCCTTTCTCGCCACATCCACGCCAGCATCGGTTGCTTTTGTTCTTTTGAATGTGGGCCAGTCTCTGAGGTGTGAGATGGTATCTCATTGTGGTTTTGATCTGCATCTCCCTGATGATTAATGATGTAGAGCATTTTCTCATGTGCTTTTTTGCCATTCGGATTTCTTCTTTGAGAAAGTTTCTGTTCATTTCATTGCCCCATTTTTGGATGGGGTTGGATGTTTTCTTCTTGTGGAGTTTAACCAGTATTTTGTATATCCTGGATATCAACCCCTTGTCAGATGTGTATTCGGTGAATATCCTTTCCCATTCTGTAGACTGTCTTTGTATTTTGGTCACTGTTTCTTTGGAGGTGCAGAAGCTTCTTAGTTTAAGATAGTCCCATTTATCTATCTCTGTTTTCACTTGCTCGGCCAGTGGCGTGGCATCTTTGAAGATACCATTAGCTTCAATGTCATGGAGGGTTTTGCCAACGTTATCTTCAATGCACCTTATGGTTTCTGGTCTGATGTTGAGGTCTTTAATCCATTTTGATCTTACTTTTGTACATGGTGTTAGGCAGAGTTCTGAGCCTATTTTTTTGCATGTAGCCGTCCAGTGATGCCAACACAATTTATTAAAGAGGCTTTCCTTACTCCACTGCTGTTCAATATAGTACTGGAAGTACTTGCAATAGCGATTAGGCAGGAAAAAGATATTAAGGGCATTCAGGTAGGAAAGGAAGAAATCAAGCTCTCACTATTCGCAGATGATATGATACTCTACTTAGAGAACCCAATAACTTCCACCAAAAAACTCTTAGAAACAATAGACTCGTATAGTAAAGTTGCAGGTTATAAAATCAATACCCAAAAGTCCATGGCTTTCCTATACGCAAACAGTGAGAGAGAAGAAAGCAACATGAAAAAAACAATCCCATTCACAATTGTGCCCCAGAAAATCAAGTACCTAGGAATCAGCTTAACTAAGGAAGTAAAGGACCTGTACAAAGAAAACTACAAAACGCTACTTCAGGAAATAAAAGAGGACATGAGGAAATGGAAAGATATCCCCTGCTCATGGGTCGGGAGACTTAACATTGTCAAAATGGCAATACTACCGAAAGCATTGTATAAATTCAATGCAATCCCTATAAGGATACCCATGACATTCTTCAAAGAAATGGAGCAAACACTCTTGAAATTTATATGGAACAATAAGCCCCCACGAATAGCTAAAGCAATTCTTGGGAAAAAGAAAATGGGAGGAATCAACCTCCCGAACTTCAAACTGTACTACAAAGCAGTAATAATTAAAACAGCATGGTACTGGAACAAAGGCAGAACTGCAGACCAATGGAACAGGGTTGAATACACTGACATTTCTCCTCAATCATATGCTCATCTAATCTTTGATAAAGGTGCAAGTAATGTGAAGTGGAGTAAGGAAAGCCTCTTTAATAAATTGTTCTCCGGCATTTCTAAGGGAGATTTTTAAACCCTTCGCACACATAGCACATACACCGTTAGGTACCTCTCTCAAGCATACAGCGTGTTCTAGTCATTTTATGATTTTTAAGATCTTTGGAAAAACAGAAATCATGGAAGAAGGGTCCCCAAGAACAGTCTAGACTTCATGTTCTGTATGCGACGATTCTCGAAATTCCGTGGAGGTGTTTTCTTTGTGTGTGCAGACTGAGGCTCTTCTTCAGAGGTTTTCTCTACCCCTTCCCCACCCAAATGAAAGACAAATTTTCTGCCAAACACAGTCTGTTTGCAGGTGATGTTCGTGTTATCGTTTGGGGTTTATGTCAGGGACGTGCCTGGCTCAGGGCTTGGGGGACCGGCTGGTACCTGGGGTTGGTCTTGGGAAGCATGTGCAAGTCAGGCAACGCTTTGGCTCCTGGACTTTCTGCTCTCAGATTTCTGCTCTGCCACTAGGTTTATGTCTTTATCTTTTTATTTATTTTTATTTATGGGTCTTGGCCAATACCCTCTGTGCTTGGGACTTCCTCCTGGCTCTCTGCTCAGGTATCCCTCTTGGCGGGGCTCAGGGGACCTCACCTCACCCCAAGGACAAAACCCAGGTTGGTTGCGTGCAAGGCAAGTGCCCTTCCTGCTGTACTATTGCTACGGCCCAGGTTTTATATTTTTAATAAAAGGCAGTGTGGTTGTGATTACTAATGAGCGCTCTCTGTTTGCTTTCTCTGCCTCTGCAGGTTATCTTGTCTATGAATTTGACAAGTTTTGGTTTGAAGAAAAACCAGAAAGCATTATGTTGTTCAACGTGTACAGAGAGAAGTTTCACGAGAAGATTAAAGGACTCTTGCTGGACTGTAAGGTATCGCTCACTATAAAAACATGAGCTGTCCACCGTAGCTTCCCTTTCTACCCCATTTTGCACACGCAGCAGAATTTATATGTTGTAATAGAAATGATCTGATCACTACACTCCTTATAGAATTAATTTCCTACAAAGATATTGCAGAAGTTCTATTTAAGAAAGCTAATGGACAATCAGTGTATGTTTACAGTTGTCTGTACACTGTATCTTCTCCTGCCCAAGACCCCTCTGTGGAGCCAGGTGCACCCCAGTTTTTGAAACTCGGTTCTTAGCCCGTTCAGTGGAAGAGTGGAAATCAGGTACTTGCATTTAAATTGGTTGATTAAAATGTGTCTAAATCCAGTTGCAGTTTGGTGTGATGTAGCCATCGAGCTGGAATCTTCTCAGAGCTCTTTCCACGCTTTGGTTTCGCGGGCTAGCTTTTCTTTCGTCTCCTCTGATTTTGATTTCTAGTTTAATAGCCAGGGAGCTCATCCTTCAGGTGGCTTTGCGGTGCTGCAACCCCGGGCGAGGTTATGGCAGAGTGGAGGGGGCCGGTGTGGGATGTGATTATGAACCAGAGATCAGGGCAGGTGACTTGTGTTTTCAGCACCATCCTTTCAAATGCTCAGTGTTATTTCATTTTTTTGGTTTTTGGTCCACACCCAGTGGTGCTCCAGGGTTACTCCTGGCTCTGTGCTCAAGAATTGCTCTCGGCAGACTTGGGGGACCATACGGGATGCCAGGGCTCGAACCCAGGTCAGTCGGCCGTATGCAAGGCCCTACCCGCTGTGCTTATCACTCTGGCCTGCCACAGTGTAATTTTTAGACCTTAAAGCCGTTTTTTCCTCTCCAACATTTGCCTGGATCAGGTGTAGGCAAGAATCCTGGCAAGTGTGTGCTGTGAGGCCTTTCTCTGAAGCCGCCCTTCCTGTGTGCCTGGAGGGACGTGCTGGTTCAGGACATCTTGCTGGCATTCAGAGGACAGCCGCTGTCTGAGTCCAGCCGTCTCTGAGTGTTGGAGGACAGCATCACGCTTGCTTTCTTTTGGTTTTCATAGATTGCAGCTCCCCAGGGTTGGAGCTCGTGATGTGGCGGGTTTGTGCCTACTCCTTCAGGTCATGCTCTACCGTGTGTCCAGGTGATGAGGGTTGGGCCCACCAGGAGGCCTCCGAGGGGGCAGCCCGTGGATTAGCAAGTCATCTGAGGATGAAATTGTGCATTTTGTGTCGCTAATTCTGAAGTGCAGGAGGGCAGCCAGGGCTGTCGGGAAGAGTGAGTCGGAAGAGGAGCTGCTCTTGGGTGCTGAGGTTGTGGGCGCAGAGAGCAGCGTCAGCAGGGAGCCTAGCAGTGCTGATGGAGCTTCTTGACACATGCAGAAACCAGCCTCCACCAGACATACTTTAGCACATGAAAATAGGCTCTTTTTTTTCCTTTTTTTTTTTTTCCATGTGACTATTGCAACCTTCTCGGGACTCAGCGGTAGATGAGAGATCAAGATTACGGAAGTTCAAGTACTTGTTTGTGTTGGAAAACCTTTCTCCAGACTTACCAAAGAGAAACTAGTAAACAAGCAAACAGACAGCCCATTGGAAAATAGTCTAGGCAGGGTCATATAGCCCAGACCCTGTGCATCGCATCGCGAGTGCATGCATTAAAGTTCCTGTTTCCCGACAAAATACAAGTATTTTTAAAATCATGTCCGTTTTAGTGTCAGAGGGTTGGTTTCGCATTTCAGTAGTCCAGAAACTTGGTTTCGTCCAGGGGACTCCTGAACCTTGGGAGATCTAAACTCAATGTTTTAAATGTTTCTAATGCTTCCTCATATTTCCTCCGTGAGAAATGGCAACCTCCTGGCCAGTGTTCACCACAAAGGTACGCTGTGCCCACGTGTGGCGATGGGCAGCTGTTGGCGAGCCGTTCTGTCATCTTCGTTTGTGTGCTGGAAAATCTTGGTGTTTGAATCTTCTAGCGACTGAGATCTTGAATGGTTTAAACATTTGTCAGTCCGCTTAACCATTACAGTATGGCTGGGGAAGCTTTCCACGTAAGTCTTTCCCCTCCTCAGGAGAAAAATAAACTCTTTATAATGATGCTAGATAATTCTCCTTAGAAAGTTTGCTCGGGATAGGGCCTTTAAATTCACCTCTGTTTGTTTGTTACAGATGATGTTTCAGTTTTGCTTACAGTAATCATTAACCGTTTCAGATAGTTCTACACTGAATTTGGTCAAAAGACCACTGACAGATTCTCAGGTGTGATAGGGCTGGAAGCCCATCGAAACGTCACTAGTTGGTAATGAGAAGGTCACATGAGATGTTCCCCTTCTCTGCTGGGACATTCATGAGAAGCAGCGTATAATTGTATTTGCCTTCCCGTTTCTTGCTTCAGCATCTGTGTCTTCTTTATGTAGTTTTTCATGAATATTTAGATTTCTAGTTCTTTTTCTCTAATAATAAAATACCAAAGTAGTGCTTAGAAGTGCTAGAAGTAGCAGGAAAATCCTGTTTGTTTTCATGTCCCCAAAGTGACCCTGTGTTGCAGAGGGTTTGTGTACATGCCAGGCGAGAGTCGAGAAAGGACGCGTCCTGTGTGGTCACTCCTGTGTGTCCTGAGGGGCGATCTTTAAAGCCGTGGAGAGACTCGGGCGATCCGTGAACCCCAGCGCCCCTCTCTGTGTGGAAGCACAGTGATAGAGTCAGAGAGAAGAGCCAGGTGTCCCGCGGGCACCATCCTAGTTCCGCAGATCGTCTTCTCCGTGACAATGTCCGTCCCACCGTGTGCCTGTTGAAGCGCATCCTGGACTTGTCCATGCTCCTCCCGGGGACACCGCCGTCCTCCCCGTGCATCCTCAGTGTCCTGCTTTGTCACGTTCCGTTTCCCAGACGTGGAGTGGAAGAAAACCCCACGGGGGAAGATCTACTCCCAGGAGAAGCGTGACTTGGGGTGTGAAACCACGTCAGAGCAGACACGATTCCACGGCATCCTGCAGAGGAGAGCAGAGGCCTCACCGGAATTGTCCTGGATTCAGTGTTGGGGACCAAGGTGGTTTCTCAGGACTCATGGCACCTAGTTCTGAAGAGCACCGGAAGCCTCGCACCCACAGGCGCCTTCGATGGCTGGGAGGAGCCTTCAGTGGCTGGAGGGAGCACGGGGACCTGCTGGTCTCTCTGCAGGAGCGCGCATCTCTATGTGTGTGACACCAAGAAGCTTTCCTGGGGGGCAGGCCGCCTGCACTTAGAGCTCCCCGTCTTCGTTGGGTGAAGCAGTCAGCTTCTTAGATCAGAGCAATAGTTGAAATGTGAAGTCTTCCTTGTTTGTTCAGAATGTGGTGAGCAAATAAAAAAAAAAGCCTGTTAAAATGGTTAATAGCCTTCCTGTTCGTTCTTCTGTGCTCTTCCCACCCTCCATTCTGTTCTCAGTCAAATATGGGCAAATAATGCTTGTAATCTTTTTTTGCTTTTTGGGTCACACCCGGCAATGCTCAGGGGTCACTCCTGGCTCTGCACCCAGGAATTACCCCTGGCGGTGCTCAGGGGACCATATGGGATGCTGGGAATCGAACCCGGGTTGGTCGCATGCAAGGCAGATGCCCTACCCGCTGTACTATCACTCCAGCCCCAGTGCTTTTAATCTTTTCATCGTGTTCCTAGGAAAATATTGGGGAAATTCATTTCTACGGTTTTTTTGGGGGGAAGGGGGGAAGGTGGGCTTGAACCACATCTGGCACAGCTCAGAGGTCACTCTTGGTGGTGCCCAGGGGACCATATTTGGTAGCAGGGATTGAGCCAGGATTGGCTGCATGTCAGGCCAGTTCCTTGATCCCATACTATTGCCTTTGCCCTATTTTGTGACTTATTTTTTAAAAATCATTAGTGGCCTGTTGAAGATATTACTGGGTAATGGATTACAAGACCAGAAAAAACACACACACACACACACACACACTCCTTATTCTTACAGTGGAAGAAAAACCCAGTGGTGCCACAATATTTTTTCTTGACTTTCCAATGTGTCTTAAATCTGTTTTTATATTGTTGCATGCTTTCCTTGTTCTGAAAGCTGCAAAAAATTCTTTTTTTTAAATGCATATGTATTTGGGGCCTTTGTCTTTTCCTTTGAGTCATACCCAGCAGTGCCCCGGAATAGATGGAGCTGCCTGTGTACAGGACATCCACTTCAGCCCCGGTTTATGCCTGTGTGTTTGAACACAAGTACTGGGAACTGTTGGCATACAGCTAAAGCTCTAGGTATTCAAGTTAGTGCTAAACTGTAGCTTTAAACGTATGTTAGAAAAACAAAAGGCGGTGTAAAAATGTAACAGTAGCTCTTTCTCAAGAACTTTGATGAAGGGGAACAGATAAAACCTAAAAACATAAGGGAAAATGGGCCTGGGAGTTGGCTCAAAGGGATGGAGCATGCTTCAATCTTGATTCCATCCCTGGCACTGTATGGTCCCCTGAAACCACCAGCTATCACCCCACTCAAAAATGGGGAAATGTTGAAGAGCTCTAATATAGGGCCAGGTGGATAGCTTGGGGCCAGTGGTATAAATGGCCCCCATACACCCTAGCACCAAACCTCCCGGCCCAGTTGAACTAGTGTAACTGGGAGTGACTTTCTGGGTCCCCTGAGCACTGTTTGGGAGCCTGTGCCCTCCCCCAAGCTCAAGTATATACATTAAAGAATGTGTATAGAAATCAAAATTGTCACTTAAACAGATGACAGTTTGATAAACCTCAATGATGTTAGGAAGTGAGCTAGAAGGAACCAGAAAGAAGAGGGAAGGGCCAGACTGCTAATAAAGCCTCTATCAAAGTATCCTAATTTGTGTCTGTGATTCTGTGACCAGATTGATCATTCTGCTGACCTAATTGCATACACGCAGGTAAGTTCACCCTGCGTGCCCATTGTAGGGCATACGCGATCTGCTTGGTGTTCCAAGATAACGCCCTCATAGATGGGTGAGAGATTCCCCCCCAGTTCTGCCATCCTGAGGGTGAACAGAGATTGTTCCAAGGTCCCCGACTTTATTTGGTCAAGGGTATGCCTCCTTGTCGGGATCCCAGTGAAGAAACCATTTTCTTCCTTAGCCTCCAAAGAAACATAGGCACGGAGGCTCATTTTTGAATTGGTGGGACTTCCCTTTGAGACCAGCTGCCACCCATTTGTTTTTTGGGGTTTTTATTTTTATTTATTTTGCTATTTGGGTCACACTTGGCAATGCTCAGGGGTTACTTCTGGCTCATGCACTCAGGAATTACTCCTAGCGGTGCTCAGGTGACCATGTGGGATGCTGGGAATCGAACCTGGGTCGGCCGCGGGCAAGGCAAAAGCCCTACTGGCTGTGCTATCACTCCAGCCCCCTGTCGCCACCCATTTGGCCAGAAATGCCACAAGGCAGAGCCCAGGCTGACCCTTCTCCCCAAGCAGGGGTTAACCTTGGGCCCCAGACAGTTAGACATTTTCTTCTTCTTTCTTATTCTTTATATTTTGTTTTCGTTTGGTTTCTGGGCCACACCTGGTGAGACTCAGGACTTGCCCCTGGCCTTGTGCTCAGGGATAACTCCTGGCAGTTCTCGGGGACCATATGTGGTCCTGGGGAACCAACTCGGATGGGCTCTATGCAACACCTGAACCCCTGTCCTGCCTCTCTGGCCTCTGTTTTCTTCCTCGTTCTTCATTCTCAGTCGGTCCTGCCGTCCATCCCATTTTGCAGTTTTTCAAAAGCAACCAATCCACCCAGGAGCGTTAAATAAAGTGACTGGATTGCCTCATTGGCCTCCCTTCATCTTTGTTTTTTTCACAGAACCTCTGATTATTCTGGCTTTTCAGCTGTTGTTCTTGCTTTTTTTTTTTTTTTTTAAAGACAAGCCCAGGCCTTGTCAGGTAGTTTTTCTTTTGAACTGCCTGTTCATTCACTGGGCTGGAGCGATAGCACAGTGGGAAGGGATTTTGCCTTGCAAGTGGCTGACCCAGCCAACTCGAGTTTAATTCCTCCGCCCCTCACTGAGAGCCCGGCAAGCTACCGAGAATATCTCGCCCGCATGGCAAAGCCTGACAAGCTCCCCGTGATGTATTCGATATGCCAAACACAGTAACAACAAACTTCACAATGGAGACGTTACTTGGCCTGCTCGAGCAAATCGATGAACAACGGGAGGACAGTGCTACAGTGCTACAGTTCATTATTTTTTCCTGCCCTTTACTTGTAAGCATGAACAAAAATTACAACATATGTTAAAGAGAAATTCAATTTGGCAGAAGAATGCCTGGAAAAGTCTTTTTTCTTTTTAATGGGGGGAGGCACACCCAGCAGTGCTCCAGGTGTATTCTTGGCTCTGTGCTCAGGGATCACTCCTGATGGGCTATGGAGACCATCTGTGGTGCTGGGTATTGAACCTGAGTCGGCCACATGCAAGGTGAGTGCTCTAATCACTGTTCTGCCCCCAGAGGAGGGTCATTTTTTATCTCAGTGAGTCTCAGATTGGAGTCAAAGATGTGATTCAGCAGGAAAACACTTGCCTTGCATGTGTGAGGCCCGAGATTTGATCCCTGTGCCAAAATAATAAAATAATCTAAATAAAAGATTATTCTGGGGCTGGAGAGATGAGACAATGGGTAAGGTGCTTACCTAGATTCAATCCCTAATACCCCATACCGTTTCCTGAGCTCACCAGGAGGTTATTCCTGAGAGCAGAGCCAGGAGTAACCCCTAAGCATCTCAGGGTATGGCCCAACCTTTCCCCCGCCCCTGCCCACAAATTATTCCTCTACCTAGCCAAACCTTTTAGCTCAAAAAATCTAGTTCTTGGGGCTGAAGTGGTAATACAGTGGGTAGGGCGTTTGCCTTGCACACGGCCGACCTGGGTTTGATTCCTGGCATCCCATATGGTCCCCCAAGCACCATCATGAGTGATTCCTGAGTGCAGAGCTGGGAGTAACCCCTGAACATCGCTGGGTGTGACCCAAAATGCAAAATAAAATTTTTAAAAAATAGTTCTTGCATTGATGCATGATTCTAATAACCATGATGGCCACACAAACTTGCTGTCTCAGATTAGGTGTTAGAGATGTCATAAAACCAGACTGCGCATTTTAAATCTGCACTACTCACATTTGAAGCAAGTTTCTGCCTGTTAATTCCAAACACCTAACGTGAGGTGATTTTGGAATCTAGATGAATATCAATTCTTACCTTCAGATTCAGAATCAAAAAAGAGACACTTTTGACAGTATTAGCAACTTTATTGGCTGTGTGAACTGACAACGGGGTTAATCAATAGAAAATAGTAACATTCTCTGACAGCTGTTCTTTTTTAAGTGTTTATAAATACAAAAATGCATTCCACTCAGCCTTCCTTTCTCAGCAGTCTGAACTGTAAGGCACATGAAAGTCCTTCCTCAACGATCATAAAAATCACTGCCCTGACCAAAGTGAGCATCTCTCCATGCCACAGTGCCAGGATGAAGGAACACTGAGTGTCCTGATCGTCCCTTCTCAGAGCACAATAAAAGTCACACAAAATAGGTATTAATAGTTTTCCTTAAAAAAAAAAAACAACAACTCAGGGGCTGGAGCCATAGCACAGCGGGGAGGGCGTTTGCCTTGCACGCGGCTGACCCGGGTTCAATTCCCAGCATCCCATATGGTCCCCCGAGCACCGCCAGGAGTAATTCCTGAGTGCATGAGCCAAGAGTAACCCTTTTGCATTGATGGGTGTGACCCAAAAAGAAAAAAAAAATCCCAATGCTCTACTCTACCAGAATTCCTGTATCTTTTTAGGGTGAAATGAAGTGAACAGGTGTCAGCACCCAGGTGTCCCCTCTGTGGAGCTCCCTTGTGGGTGGAAGGGATTATGTGCTGCAGTCCACGGTCTGCCTGGACTTCATAAGTTCTTTCTTCAGCTGCTCAAAGCACACGTACATAATGACGGTCCAGGATCCCAGTCGCAGGAAGGAGGGCATGAATCTAGAAAAGAAGGTACAGCAACACTAACTGTTTTTGCCTTGGCATCTTTTTTTCCCCCTTTGGATCACACCTGGCAATGCACAGGGGTTACTCCTGGCTCTGCACTCAGAAATTACTCCTGGTGTTTTTCGGGGACCATATGGGATGCTGGGGATCATACCTGGGTTGGCCTCATGCAAGGCAAATGCCCTCCCCGCTGGCTCTGGCCCCTGCTCTGGCATCTTGAATAGAACAGTGCACACACAACGCTAAGCCCATTGTCAAATGAAGGTGTTCCGGAGTTGCATGAACTGTCCCATCCCGCCTCCCACCACTCCAGTCAGCCCTACTGCGGGCCCACATCTGTACAAACACACAGTATCCTTCCTTCTTCCCAGCCATGCAACTCTCCCCTCTGCCACGGCCTTTGTTGATAACCCCTTGCTGCTTTTTTAGAGAGGAGGGAATTTTTTCTTTTCTTTTCTTTTCCCATGAAGATAGGAAGAAAGGTGAGGGAGGTGGTGGGGGCCGGGGACACAGTGAAGTAGCAAAGTGGACTATTTTCCAGAGTCAGGAAATCAGTGCTTTCTAGAACTTAGCAAGGCTTGGTCTGCAAGGGCCTGTGTGTGGTTGATTTTCAAGGGGGGATTTTGAAGAATTCTACTGAACCCTGCAGAGTGAATAGCTGATTTCCCATGCCTGTTTGCAGTCGTAACAGGAGGAAAAGATACCATCTGTTAAATCACCCGTGGAGAGATTTGTTAAAAATCTGGCCTAAAAATTGGTTTCTTATCAACAGGCACATGGGAAGTAGCTCCGTATCACAACTTATCAGGAAATGCAGATTAAAGGTCCCCACGAGTGCTCATGCCAGCCAGGCTGGGCACTGCACATCTACGAAATGGGAGGTGGCAAGGGTGGGCGATGTCCTAGAGAGAAGGCCAAGGTGGGCCCGGTAGGTTGGAATGTAAACTGGTGACGCCACTGGAAATCGGGACAGAGATTATTAAAACTAGGAGCTGCAAAGACAGCTGAGCACACACTTTGCAAGTTGGGGCCCCAGGTTCGATCCCCGGCGTCACGTGGTCCCTTGAGCACCAACAGGGGCAACCCCCCCACACAGAGCCAGGAGTGGCCTCGGCCAGCAGCCTTGGGTATGCCCCCTTCAACTTCCAGAAAAAGAGTTTCAAAACAGACTATGTGCTCTAGCAATTCTACTTTGGAATATATGCAAAGGAAACTACGACACTGGCTTGAAAAGTCTCACCCACCGCATTTGGGTCTTGTCACGGATCTATAAAGCAGCTCATACTGGGAAAGACATTGTGAATCTAATTTTGCTCAGGAAAAACACAACCAATCACAATGCTAAGTTCTAGGCCTGTTAAATACTCATTTTTGTTGTTCACTTTTCTAAGTCAGGGGTTCCCCCCCCCCAGTTAAAATAGGGAACCTCAAATCCGGCATTTCCCTGACCCTCATCCTGCCTGCTTCTCATTTCTAGAGAAGGCACAAGGTCGCCAATATACCCAGTAGAGCAGGACCAATGGAGGAGCTTCTGATGACCCCCCCTCAAGGCCAAGAACATTCCAGAACACAGCTCTGCCTAGGCTTGAGATGGGAAAGGGCATCTCAGAGAAACACCGTGAGGGATGGCAGGTGTTTCTGAAGGCTGCTACTCTCTCCGTGGGTGGACCAGACTGGTTGGTGGCCCCTGGCACACAGAGACCCTGGACCCCACAGACCTAGCGGCACCCACCCTTTGAAGAAAGCCGAGGGGCCTTCCTTCTTGAGCATGTTGAGGGCACAGCTTTTCACGCTCGGGTAGTGGCCCGGTGGGGAGTTGATGAATCTGGTTTTCACCACGTCCACAGGAGAAGACAACGCCGTTGTGCAAAACCCAGCCACCAGCGCCGACACGAAGTGGCAGGGCACATCATCTGCAAGGAGCCATGGATACAGGTTAGCATCCCTCATACACAGGACTTCCCGGCTGCTACCTGTCAGGTCCCTGATCCTCCCCGAGACCAGAGATCAGGACCCAGCCTTCAGCAGGCGGGAATGTAAGGATGAGGCACTGTGACCCGGAAGTGATGCTGACCCAGCACTCTGGCTACATTTGGGTGTCGATGGGAAAATACTCCTGTTGCAGCAAAAACCTTGTAACACTTTAGATTTTAGTCATTTTCTGCTTCCTTCTGAAAGGTTCTCCTGAGTGAGCACGTATTTTTTTCTCATATGTTCTAAAAAGGGGATGACCAGAGTGAAAACATCGCGTGGGGTGGGAGGGAGGGAAACCCCGGGTCGACCGAGATTCAGAAAATACTGCACCCCTCTATCTACATCTCTCAGTGGAGAAACTACCCTATAATCCACCTTTTGACTTTGGGGGTATTCTCGTCCCATCCCCCAGGCACACCCCCTAAGAACTCTCCAGAACCCTAACACAGAATGTTGGGTAGGAGTCCCTGCTGGAGGGACAAGGACAGATATTCCTCCCTGCACCCATCTAAGAGGAAGCCAGATACCTGCTAGCAGGTTGTTCTTCACCAGGGCGTTCTTGAGGACATCATATACCACCAGCTCCGTGCAGTTGATGATGACGTTCCTTGTCAGGTTGAGACTTGTCCCTTTGGGGTGGAAAAGAGTGATGATCACACTATTCCCGGGGAAGGAGCCCTTTGGAGGAATGTACTTCAAGTTGGGCAAAAGGTCACAGAGAGCCACTCACCTTTCCACAGCCCGAGGATGCCTTCCGTGGTCACGATCACATAGTAGGCGTTGTACGTCCCCGTGTAACGGGGCTTGAACCAATGCAGTTTGCTCTGTGCCTGCATCCTGACCTTGGCCACTTCGGTGGGCTGCCCGACGAAAACTGCCACACCTCCAGTCATGAGGCCAGCTGTGATCTTGTTTCCTAAAGTTGCAGGGGCTAGCCAGAGAGAGCAAATATTTATTCAGGGATCTAGACCCAAAAGGCTTTGGTTGTGCTTTCACATGATTTGCTTTCTCTGCATCCTCTCTGAGCCCCTGATGCAAGTGGGGATTGTTCACATACTAAAACTAAGGACTAAAAGCGAAGGCCAGAGAGAGAGTACAATCGGGACTGTCTATAGAAGATGAGGTCCTCCGAACCAGAATGAAAAATAAGCATACACTCATCCAAGGGCCAGAAGACTTTAAAGTTGTCTGAACTTTTTGGTTTTGTTTTGTTTGGGGGGCGTACCTGGAAATATTCAGGCGTTATTCCTGGCTCTGTGCTCGTGATCCCTGGCAGTGCTTGGAGACCCTATAGGGTGCCAGGGATTTGAACCAAGGTCGGCTGCACCCAGGACAAATGCCTTAACCCCGCCCCAGGAAAGACAGTGAAGGAGAAGGAGACACATGTTGATTTCAACAATGGCTTCATCCCATCCACTTAGCCCTTTCCTGCCTTGGGTTCTTTTCCAACAATTCCCAGTTGGGAAGAGGCACCAGCCACCAAGAGTGTCTGGAGACTTCTATCACCAATGGTCATTTTAACTGCTGGATTCCAGGATCTGAGGAAAGGTCCAAGGGGACAGATTGTCCCCATCCTTGGGACCAGCTTCCCACTGTTTACCATAGAGGCAAAAATAAATGACAGCCAAGATGCAAAAGGGATTTCTCACTTGACATCTTTTTTTAAGTTAGCTTAGGTTAGTCAAGATGGATTTCATTTACTTCAACCCCAAATAGTCCTGCAGCTCCTGGCCGGTTCTACAAGTCACTCTCAAGAGGATTTTTTCAGGAGTACTGTATCCTGGGCTGTGAAAGGCACATAATGACATTTCCCTCCTTGAACGCAGTGGAAGTGATGGGGTTCAAGCCATCTGCCGGCTATCAGGGGTGGAGGAAGCACATAAATCCACATCCTCTGCCCTCTGAGGCACCCCAGGAGCAGAGCCTTTCTTGAACTGCAGCCGCTGAGCCGCTGCCTAGCCCACCTGGTTCTCAGCTGTCCCCCAACACCCTGGCCTCTTTCCTTCTCAGGCCTCTAGGGAAGCATCTGCCTTTCAAAGGAAACTATGACCAGAGGACAAAGACAGCCCACGGAATGGGAAAAAAATATTTACTTAACACTCATCTGATAAGGAGTTAATATCCAAGACGTTTAAGCCACTGGTGGAACTTTACAAGAAAAAAAATACAACCCCATCAAAAACTGGAGAGAAGAGGTGAACTTCCTCAAAGAAGAAATACAAATGGCTAGAAGGCATATGAAAAAGTGCCCTACGTGGCTAATTATCAGGGAGATTGAATCAAAACAACAATGAGATAGTATCTCATGCCACAGAGACTGGCACACATCAAAAAGGACAACCAGTGCTGGCATGGATGCAGCCAGACATTTATTCACCAGTGGTGCGAATGTTGATTGGTCCAGCCTTTCTGAAAAAGTATATGGACATCCCTTAAAAAACTAGAAATTGAGCTTCCATACGAACTATCAATACCACTGATGGGAATTTACCCTACTGGCCCCAAAATACAATGCAGATAAGCCATCTGCACTCCAATGTTCATTGCCGCTCTCTTCACAATGGCCAAAATCTGAAACAACCCAAATGCCCAAGAACAGATGAGTGGATAAAGAAATTATGGTACCTCTACACAGTGGAACACTACACAGCTGTTAGAAAAAAAATGAAGTCACTATAAGTGGATGGACATGGAGATTATCATGCTAAGTGAAATGAGTTAGAAAGAGAGGGAGAGACATAGAAGAACTGCACTCATTTGTGGAATATAAAATAACATAATATGAGATGGACACTCAAGGACAGTAGACACAAGGGCCAGGAATATTGCCCCATAGTGGGAAGCCTGTCTCATGAGTTGGGGAAGAAGGCAGCTGGAAAGAGAAGGAATCATTAAGGCAATGATGGTTGGAGGAATTGTTTGGGATGGGAGATGTGTGCTGAAAGTAGATAAAGGACCAAATGTGATAATCTCTCAGTATCTGTATTGAAAACCATAATTCCCAGAAGTAGAGAGAGAGAGTATGGGGGGAATTGTCTGTCATAGAGGCAGGGGAAAGGTTAGAAAGGGGGAGTAATATTGGGGACATTGGTGGTGGAGACTGTGCACCGGTGGGGGGATGGGTGTTTGATCATTAGTTGATTGAAACTCAAATGTGAAAGCTTGTAACTGTATCTCATGTTGATTCAATAAAGAGAAAAAAAGAAAAAGAAATGAAGTAATGAGATTTGCTTATACATAGAGGGCCATGGAGAGTATTATGCTAGGTGAGATGAGCCAGGAGGAGAGGGACAGGCATAGAATGAGCCGGGCTGTGGTTTCTGTCTTTTGCTCTGGCTCTTTGCCTACTCGACCCTGTGCCATCTGGCCAGCACCTAACCACTCCACTGCGGGTCACTCAGGAGCCTGGGACCTTGCAGCCCTCTCTCATACACAAGGCTCAGAAAGGGTCACTTCAGTGAAACGATGCCAGGAAAGGAGCTCTGTGAGGCCCCCACTTCCCACAGCCCGCTGCCCGGCTTACCGTCTTTCTGGATGTTGAAGTATTCCTGCACGGAGTCGTAGAGGCCGATGCGGAGCGAGGCAAAGCTGATCTGCCTCTGGATGCCCGCGGGGAGCCCACCGTAGAGTTTCAGGGGTCCCTCTGTCTTGGCCACCGTGGCGATGGTTCCCAGCACCCCTTTGTACTTAACGCCAGGAGCATTGGGGCTTTCTCCTTGCACCTGGGATGGAGGAGAGACGGGTCAGAGAGGTGACCGCAGAGTCCTACTGGGCAGGGAAGTGAAGGCAGGATGGGCTGGCAGCCAGGAGAAGTGCTGAGCCAAAGTCTCTCCCCTGCTTTCTCAGGGTTTTGACCCCGCCGGGCCACTGCCCCGGGCATCTCCAACCACACCTCCACCGACGTCTCTGCAGACATCTACCCATCCACGGCCCATGGACCTACATATACATGCCTGCGGCTTGTCCCTGTAGCTACTGATTTTATATATAAAGATGTGGCCGTATCTATATCTCGATAGCGACTTGCCTATTTGCATTTGATGTGTCTATCTCGATAGCTAACTACTGGTTTGTATATGAAGTCTTTATAGCAACCTGCCCATTTGCATGTAATATGTCTATCTTTATAGCCATCTGCCCCTCTAGAAATGGATATTATTTATTTCTGTATGGATATTATTTATCTCTGTCTCTATACTATTTATATATGCTATGTATTTACTTCTGCTCCATAACTGTCTACCTATTGATATATGAAGTCTCTGGCTCACGGCCTGTGACATATAAAAAGTCCCTCTATGAACAGTCCAGCTAGCAAGCACGGTCTGCACACCTCTCCCTACAGTCCCTCAGTGGACAGGATACCTACAATCCCCCCTTCACAAACTCCCACCCCCGTGCGCACTCCCTGACACAGGATGTTGGAAGGGGTCCCTGTTGGGAAGGACAAGGACAAATACATCCACCGGGGTTAGCGGCTGGGGGGTCTGAGTTCTGCAACGCTCGGGATGCGCCCTAACTCTGGGGCAACTTGGTCTGGGCTCTGTGCGCCTTCAGTTGATGGCCCCCTCCCTGGGAGTGGGGACCCCGCCGTCTGCGCTCCCGAGAGAGGCTCCTACCTGCAGCCGGACTTTGGCGGTGTCCAGCGGGAAGGTGATGATATCGGCCAAGCAGGCGGACACCCCGGCGGAGAAGATCTTGACGGGCATGGTGGGGGGCGGCACGTCGGCCGCCGCGGGGGCCACCATGGTCCCCTCTGGCTGGGCGCGGGAGCGCGGGCGTGCGGGGTGGGCGCTGAGCGGGCGTGGGGGTCCGCGGGCGGACTCGAGGCTCGGAGGCTCGGAGTCGGGGGGCGGCGGCAGAGGGGGCGGCGGCGCGCGCGGCAGGACCCGTGCGCCCCGCGCCGCGCGCGCCGCTTTTATAGCCCCGGCCGGGCCACGGCCGCGGGGCCCGCGGGACCGGGACGCCCAAGGGGCGGGCCCAGGGGCGCCGGTTGCCGCAGCCCGCCCCGTCCTGGCTGCGCTCCGGACAGCCGCCCCGCGCCCCTGGCCGCCGTCCCCAGGCGGGACCAGCCGTGACTCCCTGAAACCAGCCCCATCTCGGGACCCTGAGAAAGAAAGAGGAAAGCCTGGAGCGCGACTCTCACTCTTAGGGTCCCCCCCCCCCATCCTTGAGAGACCCCGCTGGAGTCTCTCCCCTTGGCTCTCCTTCTAATGTCGGTTTAATTTTTTTTTTAAGTTCTTTATTTAGATGTTGGACCACGCAGTGATGCTCGGGGCTTCCACCTGGCTCCGCGCTCAGGGGATCACTCCTGGAGATGATTGGGGGACTACAGGGGTTGCCAGGGATCCAACCAGGGTCCGCCCTGTGCAAGGCAAAACGCCCTCCCGGCTGTCCTGCCTCTCCTGCCGCAGTATAATTCTTTCAATATCACAGGGTCTCTGGTGCTTTTCTTTGCACTTATCACCCTCCTGACTCCTCTCTCAAACCCAGAGGGAAGATGCCCAGGCGACACCAAGGACAACAGTGAGCCTTGACAGGCTTTCCTGGTAGGTGCCTGGCAAAAGAAACAGCAGGTCCTCCAAAACAAGAAAAAAAAAATATCATTGAACACTGTTGGACTGGAGCGATAGCACAGCAGTAGGGCGTTTGCCTGGCCAAACTGGGTTCGATTCCTCCGCCCCTCTCGAAGAGCCCGACAAGCTATCCAGAGTATCTCACCCGCATGCCAAAGCCTGGCAAGCTGCCCGGGACGTATTTGATATGCCAAAACCAGTAACAACAAGTCTCAAAATGGAGATGTTACTGGGCCCCGCTCGAGCAAATCGATGAACAACGGGAGGACAGTGACAGTGACAGTGAACACTGTTGAGGACCAGGAGTGGCACCTTAACTGACTTTGACTTCAAGCTCATTCCAGGAGCCCGGAGCAGCTGGGGGTGTGAACACAGGCAGCTGCTGGATGAAGCAAGGTCCCCTGCTTCCTGCTCATTCCACTCCTCAGGAGCTCTGACTAGAGACACTCAGTGTCGCTGGACTCCAGGTGCCCTTTATCTGCCCTTCACTCCCGTTTTCCTTCCATCTGTACAGAATGATCTGGTTCCAGAACCATCCCTGAGAACCCTCACTGCCGTCTCCTGTACAGCGAGAAACGGTGCGTTGTGTGGTAGAAGGGGGAGATCTACCTCCTCCTCATCCCCGTCAAAGATGGGTTTGTGTGCTCATGGATACTTTCAGCACTGTAGCACTATCCTCCCGTTGTTCATCGATTTGCTCGAGCGGGCACCAGTAACGTCTCACAATTTCAGAAACTTTAAAAAATGCATTTAGAATAGGAGTGAGAGGGAGGGAAGGAAGGAGGGAGGGAGGGTGCAGCTCCTGGCACTGCCCAGAGAGCCCAGAGACCCTGCTGGTTCTCAATCCAGCCTGCAGGACCTCAGCATTGCCACTGCGCTCACGGGAGGGGCTGAAAGGCACCTCCAGGAGCAGAGAAAATGGGCTCAGGAGCTGCCCCGACAGTTTCCAAGGTCTTAGAATGCAAGGTGGGTGTGCAGGGCAAGAGAACACCCCCCACGCCCCCGGGCTCTGCGGGAGGCAGGCGTGAGGGGAGCACCAGGAAGCTAGAGTTAAAAGGAGGGGGACTCCAGGTAGACAGCGGAGGAAGAGAGCTTGGGCGTCTGCCTTCCCCGACAAACCCCTGCTGAAGAGCAATTGCACAAGAGAGCGGCAGCGTAGGGGAAGCAGAGTGAGCGCGCATGTGTGCGGTGGGTGCTGTTGGCTGCCTGGGTGGAAAGTTGGATAACGGGCCAGAGGGAGGAGGCAGGGCAACAGCCATAAGCCGTGAGGTCATGGGCGGCGGCAAAGAGGCAGCAGAGAGCAGACCCTGTCCTGCCTCTCTCTGCCGCGCCAACACCAAAGCATCACCCGTCCACATTCCTTTAACCTGCTAGACACCATGGCTTTGGGGATGGTTAGATGTGCTGGTGGTGTTTTCACAGGGGTCTCCAAGAACGGGATGGGTCTACCCAGGGATGGTGCGGATTGTTCTGCTGTAGGTGTTAAGTGGAGGTGACTTTAAGGACCAGGAGACAAGAACCATATTTTTTTTTGGCTTTTTTCTTTGGGGGGGGGGGGGCGAACCTCCAGCTGTGCTCAAGGCTTACTCCTGACTCTGGGCTCAGGGATCACTCCTGGCGGTGTTCATAAGACCCGATGCAGTGCCAGGGATCGAATCTTGGTTGGCCACATGCAAAGCAGCACCTGTCCTTTGTCCTACCTCTCCGGCCTGCAGTGAGATCCATTTTTAAAGTCTTGGAATCATCCGAAGAGAATAGGATTCATCATGGATAGAGAGTGGCGGGAAGCTGCATTTGCCTTGCTTCGAGAGTGAGAAATCTGAGGTGTTTGGGAGCTTCCTCACTCTCTTCCTCCGTCTCCTTCTGTGACATGGATGTGATAGAGGAGGAACACTTGGCATGTGAGTGAGCACAGGACCAGGCCAGCCCATAGGGACAGAGAGACAAGCATGGCTTTGTCAAGGGTGGAACTGTGTCCTGGGCCAGAGAGAGCACAGAGGTTCAGCATTTGCATTACACACACTGACTCCGGTGACATCCTCAGCTCTACATATGTTCCCCCAAGCAGCTCCAAGAATGACCCTTGAGCACAGAAACAGGAGTAAGCCCCGAATATCTCTGAGTATGCCCTCGCTTCCCCCACACAAAAGAAACCAAGTGTTCAGTCATGGAACGAGGAATCTGAGACTATGAATAAGGAAGACTTGGGTCTTGACTGATGTCAAGTAGAAGAAATATCTAAGAGGGCAAAAACAAACAAACAAACAAACAAACAAACAAAAAGGAGATTGAATTTAGCTTTAATATGCTTCATCCTGGTGAGTAAAGGTAAAGGTAAAGGTAAAGGCCCTCCCGTTGATCGTCGATTTGCTCGAGCGGGCCCAGTAACGTCTCCATTGGAGACTTTGTTGTTACTGTGTCTGGTGAGTAAAATTGTGATAGAATGATTAGGTTGCAAGAGTGATGGCTGAGCCAGGACTGACATTGTTTCATCCAGAATGAGCGAACGTCTCAGAGTGAGCTTCAATCCTTCGTTCTGTGCAACCTTAGCGATCTCTGCGATCTACCAGCTAGCTGACTCTCAACCCTCTTCCCATGCCCAGCCCCAAGCACTGTGTGAGACAGACACCTCCCTCGAGGAAGGCTTGGAGCCCCTCACCGCCTTCCCATCACACCCCGGCCACAGCATGCAGCCGCCTCAGACTCTCCATCTATATCCACTTGCTAGCTGAGTACCACCAAGTGTCTCCACCCTCTGAGCCCTGCCCCAAACATCCCAACTCCTCAGTGAGAAGACAGAAGGGAGCACTGGCCACCAGAACGCCACCTCTTCCCTTTTTGAGAGATCCAGAGAAGACATGCTTTCGCTGTCCCTTCCTTCAATGCAATTTTCTGGATGAAGATGTATGTGGATGATGATGAATTTGTATTCTGGCTATAAAAAGGGGTCATGGAACATTTCTGAAGGTGATGCAATAGCAACTAAATGCCGTTCTGTTTCCAGGCACAAAGCTGCACGACTGAAGGGCAAGACAAAGGAAGCGATAACCCGGAAGCTCTTAGAAGGGGAGGAAGTAAATCAGGGTGGGGGCGGGCAGGTGTGTCAGAAGGAGGAGAGGCTACTCCCAAACAGGTGAGGACAGGAAGGTGGGGGAGGGGCTTGACCTAGAGCCATAAGGGCAAATGGCTGTGTGGACGTGATAGTCTGTCACAGTAACAAATGTGGTGGGTGAGAGAACCCTTCAGAACTGCATCAGAACGCAGACCTGCAGCTCCAAGAAGCGGCAGACTCCAAGGGTCATGGGAGAGACCCCTAGAGGTCACGGAAGCTTGAGACTGGAAATGGCTCTGGGTCCCAGCAGGCCAGTCACCTCGCCCTCCAGGACAGGGTGGCAAGTGGGAGAAAGTTTGCCCCAGGTTGCAGGGATCAGTAGGGCAGAGGGCGGCCGTTCCCCCGAGGAGCTGATTTCTGCTCTCCTGGCAGCCGGGCCCGGCGAGGTAAAGAATAGGTCAGTGAGAGCAAAGGCCTTGGACGCTCCGTGATGTCACCGGGAGTGAGGGCCAGTTCCTTGGGTCCCGGGTCCTATTTTCCTCTTGATGCTGAGAACGTTTGCAGCCACACTTGCCCATGCTGTGGCCAGCCGGGAGCTGCTAGACAGTGAGATTTCTGGGCAGAATGAGCAGGGATGAGCGTGCCTTGCTCTCCAACAGCTGGGCTACCTCCTTGCTCCCTCCCCACCCCACCCATGAGAAAGGGCAGGAGAGAGAGAACTGAGAAGAGGCGGCCAGCCCAGAGTAACGGTCACGTCTGCTTCTCATCTGATGCATCCGGAGCTTGTCCCTACCAAGATCTGAATAGCTTTACCATGGACAGATCCGTTTAATCAGGCTGGAGAGAGAGGAGAGCAGGCAGGGCGCTTGTTTTGCACACAACTGACCCATTTTGATCCCCGAAAGCCCATATGATCCCTGAGCCTGCCAGCAGTGATCCCTGGAGCACAGAGCCAGGAGTAAGACCTAAGGACAATGAAAGTGTTAGTGTCCAACTCGTGCCCTGCAGCTCGGGGGGAGCTAAATGACAGATTTCCCAGAGGGCTGGGGGCCCCTTCCCTGCCTGGGACCCTGGAGACAGCCTGGTGTCTCCAGAACCCAGGGCAGCTGTGGATACCAGC